CCTCTCTCTCCCTCTCCCCCCTCTCCCTCCCTCCCTCTCCCTCTCTCCCTCTCTCTCTCTCTCTCTCTCTCGTGTATAATAAAAATTGTCTCAAAAATACAATTTCAAGTCTCATATATTTTATTGTAAGTGATAATCAGAAATCAAGCTCTATCACATACTTATTAAAACCGATTGTTGCAACTATAGAAACCACTAGAAACCAAGTTTTAACAACATGATACCAAATAATGACAATAGCTTAAAAAATAACATTTTGTTTTATTGTTATAAGCTTTAAATTTTTTTATGTTGAAAAAGACATACACACGAATATTTATTTATCAGTATATATGTGAGATATTAATTTCTCTTATACAGATGTTTAAAAATTTCACACAGTTTTTATATATTTGTTCTTTTTTTTATTATCAATTAATTTTAGCTAAATAAATTTTAATCACGTTTAAGAATAATCGTAAATAATTTGGTATAATGAAATTAACAACAAAGTATAATTTACTGTCTATTTTAATAGCATGCTGCAGCTGACTCACGATGTGATTATGCACTTTTTGCTGGAGCTTCATCAGATAATTATAATGATATACGTGAAATAGCACCACACGTAGCCGCTTTGAAAATGTATCTGAACGAGACATTTACAACTCTTCGTCTCACTGATCTTACTGTTTGGATTAAGGTAAATGATTTACACGCTTGTAAAAGATACTAAGAGATTCTCTCTCTCATATATTTCTGAAATATATTCTTTAACAAATCCCTCTAGTTTATTTATAAATTTACATGTGTATGAAATGTATATAATCTATAATTAAAAAATATGTTTTATAAAAAAGATAGAGAAGGTTCCAAGTTTAGGCGCCTATTGTAAGAAAATTATTTTGAAACAATTTTAATTGTTGTAAAACAATGACATTTTTATCAAAATAAAACGTAATTAACATAATATTTATAGTGTAAACAAATTAAAAAACGGATATTAGGAGTCAACGCAATAAGAAGTGCGCAATAAATATATACTTTCGATAATATAAAAATATGTTTAATACTAAATCTTAAAGTAGTCAAATAAAATTCTGGACGTTTCGGCTATGCATTTTAGCCATCCTCAGCAGATATGTGTTGATTCATAAAAATTCGATGAGAAACACCTCTCTCGGCCATGAAGTTTCCATACTTTTGGTAACTTTGGTATATTATCGAAAGTATATATTTATTGCGCACTTCTTACTGCGTTGACTCCTAATAGCCGTTTTTAAATTTGTTTACATTATTTTATTATAAGGAGTCCTTTAATATTATGATCACTTTTTATAATATTTATATTTTCATGTATAATATGCTACTTCTTTTTTGTAGCACTTTGAAAGCTGGCCGAAAAAGTATCCTTTGTGCGTACATGCGGAAGGACAAACTACAGCTGCTGTCCTTCTGCTGGCGAGTTTGCACAGCAGACCGATTCATATATGTCACGTAGCACGTAAAGAGGAAATACAAATCATTCGAGCTGCTAAAGAACATGTGAATATCTTAATAATACATATCAATAAAAAAAACTTTGATCACAAAATCAAAATAATTATATGCAAAAGACTTATGTATAACACAATGATTAATATAATATAAAAACTAAAAGTCAATTTTAATAATTTAAAATTTTATAACAAATTGAAATACATATGAAAATATCAATGTTAATTGTATTTTCTTATATGCTATATATATATGTATATATATATATATTTTTGTAGGGATTGGCAGTTACATGCGAGGTATGTCCGCAATACTTATTTCTTTGTCAAGAAGATTTAGACCGAATAGGCCATGGAAGAGGTAATGTAAGACCTACCTTGGGAACAAAGGAGGACCAACAGGCTCTATGGGATAATATAGATATTATCGATTGTTTCGCAACCGATCACGGTACGTCAGTAAATTTATTCCTATTAATGTCTTTAATTGTAGTTGTAATTAAATTACAAGCTATAATTTTCACAAAATTCGCGCTGTAGTCACGTAGCAGAATAAATTCAATTCAATATCTCAAAACGATAACAAGCAGCATTATTCTATAATTTGGAGATAAAATGATGGACATCTCATGTTTATATAACAGCTACTTCGCTTTGCTTTTAAATCATACAAGAGTATTCTTTTTATCCAAAGGCTTTGATATTATATCAGACACTTGCACTTGTTGTTTAGAAATAATAAGCAATTACGTGTTCCGATAAAAACAAATGTTTTGATAATTCGCAAGAGATCATTGTCTATTTTTATTCAAAAATATTAAAGGATAAGTTTTAACGTGCGAAATCACGCGATCGTATGCTTATCTTATATAATTCGCACGTTTTTAATGAGACATTGATTTGCTTTGTAAAGCTCCACATACTATGCAAGAGAAATCTTCTGAGAAACCACCACCAGGATTTCCCGGATTGGAAACTATGTTACCGCTTTTACTGACTGCCGTGCATGAAGGAAGACTGACCATAGAGGTACTTTTTGTTTGAATTATAACTTTCAACGATGTCTGGCTGATGTAATGAGTACGGAATGCCGATAAGTACTTTTACTTGATAACGCGAAAATTGCTCTCGAGAATGCATATGTCATTTTGATTTTCAGATACATTTCGTATTTAATTTAACGCAATAAAACAACGTGTTTAAGGGAAGTTTATTGTTGAAAAAGAAACTTTTTATCTAATTTTATAAAAGTCTAATTTTATAATTTTATAAAAGTGACATAAATTATATATATAATATATATATATTAATTTTCATAACTGTTGGTACAGAAATAATGCATTTGTTTAAGTTTGTTCATTAAATAAAAAACTGCGAAATAACTTATCAAGAAGCGTGTTACTCTTGGAAAAAAATTTTGAAATTTTTTAAGCTTTTCTTAAACGCGGTCTTATGTTTATGTTTATCACTTCTCTTCCATTACATATGAATGCTATTTTCTGATAATAAGTATTCGAGATAAGTCTTCGAGTATCGCATAAAGATCCACTCATAGTACTAATAGTAAAAGCTAATAGTGTGAAAATCCACTTATAGCACTGATAGTAAAAATAAAGGAAGTGGTTTTTATTGATCATTTTTACTTATCATTTTTAAGAAATTCTAAATAGTTCTAATTGCAAGCTAAATCTTACTAAAGCAATACCGCGCGTTCCTACTTATTGTTAGATAATACGTACATACATATGTATAATACGTACGTATAAGAACGTTGTTAATTATTTTATGATAAAAAAATATATTATGCATTTAGGTATATTTTGTAATAAGTTGTAATAAGTTATATATGTTACATTATTAAATGCTGTAAAAACTTAAACAAAACTACTTATCAATTATAGGATATTATAGACAAATTATATCGAAATCCCAAAAGAATCTTCAATATCCCCGATCAACGTAACACGTACATCGAGATCGATCTGGATGACGAATGGATTATTCCGGAAGCAATGTCATACAGCAAATCGAAATGGACGCCTTTTACTGGAATGAAAGTTCGTGGCTCCGTGCATAGAGTGGTTTTAAGAGGCGAGATTGCTTACATTGACGGACAAGTACTATTAAATCCTGGATTTGGCCAAGACATTAGGGATATACAATATAATACGAAGACTCCATCAACGCTTCATGCGCCAATAACTCAGCTCACAGATGTTGCCAACAAAGCGTTATCATTAGACAGTCTCATATCACCGACCTACGAAAAACCAAGTATACATGTTGATGTACACGAAGACGAACAAATCGGTATGATGATACAAACATAAATTATAAAAGAATTGCTTTGCCCTAGAAATACGTTTTAAAAAGATTGATAAAAAAAATATACACCTTTATAAATATATTGATACAGATCGATAAGCATGTTATTGGGTGGATCCATATATTCGTTCGGTTTTTCAAGGCTAAAATGAAACAGGTGTTTTTCATACAAAGGATAAATTTTAATCAATGATATCTTCTCCGTTTTTGTTGATGACCTCTTGTCACATCAACAAAAACGGAGGAGATATCATTGATTAAAATTCATCCTTTGTATGAAAAAAACCTGTTTCATTTTAGCCTTCAAAAACCGAACGAATATATGGATCCACCCAATATATTTGCGAATAAGATTAAATGTTTTACGCGCGCGCGAATGTTATTTTTTATATTGCACATATTTTGTTATTGCAAAAACAATAGCAATAACAACAATAATAATAATAATAACGACAAAAATAGAAGTAATAACAATAAAAATAATTTATAATCACTACATAAAAACAAATAAATTATGAAAATTAGTTAATTTATGTTTTATTTTTTAACAGAATCGTTCACACATCTCTTGCAACCAGCATCGCATAAATCAAGCGTCCACTTTGCGCCGTATACAGACGCTATCGATAAAGAACATTCCAAGACGCTACCCTCTCAAAGAACTATTTCACCGTTGCCCATCAGTAATGTTACTAGATACAAAAGCGACAGTAATCCAAATCTGCTTATGACTACCGTCGCATCAATTCCAACTATCCATACAAGCAACAGTCTAATCGGACATCACGTGCTTACCGTGGATATCTTTAATAAAGACATATTGAAGGATGTATTTCACTTAGCAGAAACTTTCCGAAATGCTATCAGAAAAGAACGACCCTTGGACCACATTTTGAAGGTAAACAATTAAATATCATTTGTATTACAAAATTCAAAAATTTTGTTGATCTCGAATTTTTAAGCAACTAATATAGAGAAACAGGGCAATGAGCCAATAAATTAAGTTAAAACCCTTATGAAAAAGCAAATATTACTGACACAGAAATATTACTGGTAATCACATAGCAATATTACAGGATATCACGTAATTATGGCGTTTCGTCACAGCTTCCACTACTGGACTCATCAGTAAGGCATTGTAGTGGAAACCTATCTTATACGCCTACAATAGTTATTCAATCGAGAATCTATATAAAGAGATATACGCGTATCTCAGCACTTGCGAGAATTTGTGAATATCGATAGACCTCTGATGGCGAGTCGACGTAGTAATATTCTTCACAATATTTATCCAAAGTAATATATGTATTCCCCTCCCCCCAACTTGCGCGCCGAACAATCGTCGGTCTTGAAACGCAACTCTAATAATCTGAAATAACGTCCCCTTAATTAAATTGTGATTTTAAACGCATCATTTCGCCCGCGTAAAATACATAATTACGATGATATTCTTCGCAATATATTAATTTAATTTAAAAGATTTTTAACTTAATTTATTGGCTCATTGCCTTGTTTCTCTATATTAGTTGTTTAAAAACATATTGAGTCTTATTACAAACATTCGAATTTTTAAATAATATACAAAATTATTTCTTAATTTCTTAATTAAAAAGATTAAATATAATGTATGGTTAAGGGGAAAATTATGGCTTCCATCTTTTACGAAGTCAGTACGAGAACATCGTGCAGTTTTGCTGCCGCAATGGAACGTCTCGGTGGACGCGTGATATACATGGATGGTTCTACATCATCAGTGAAGAAAGGCGAAACCTTAGAAGGTTTTTATTTTTCATAAGAATTTGTTTCATATAATAAAAGCGATCCTTGATAAATATTGGATTGAATGTACTCAACCAACTAATATTTTAATGCTCACAGATAATTTATACATAAAAAAATGCGCAAGTAATTTCTTTTCTAATCTTCGTCTTCTTTTCGTCGAATATCTAATAAATTATCGAATTATTATTTTTAGATTCAGTAATAGTTATGGCAGGATACGCTGATGTAATTGTACTCAGACACTCAGCCCCGGGTGCAGCAGCTGTAAGTATTGAAATTATAAGTATAAAAAACTATTTAATTTATTTTAATAATAATCTTTTTTATTTTTCCAATTCTTTTAATTCAATTTTATTTTTGGAACACTTATTTAATTTTTTTTTATCAAAGAATTATCTAGTGTAATGATGTTTATTGTACACATATTATTTTGCACTTCACGAATTTTTTCAAATTATAATTGAGAAATATAAAAATTTCTTTTATATAATATCTACAGGTCTTTCTAATCCAAAATTAATAATAATTTATATAGAGAGTAGCGCAGCATTGTAGGAAACCGATATTAAATGCTGGTGATGGAACCGGCGAACATCCGACGCAAGCGTTACTGGACATTTTCACAATTAGAGACGAATTCGGAACTGTAAACGGTCTTACGATTACTATGGTCGGGGATTTAAAGCATGGTAGAACCGTCCATTCTCTTGCAAGGTTAGTATGACAAAAAAATTCTGCTTAAGTAATCAATTTTACAAAAAGCAAGCGAGAAATATCGTAAATATCACGCACAATTTATATTTCTTATAAAGGAATGATCAAATTTTTCGAAAGCTAAGACGTGCTACAATTTTTGAGTAATGAATTTTGATATTGATCAATGTGTATTAACTATTACATACACACATATATAAACACAATTAAATTCTAAATTTAGATAGTCTTCTATGAAAAGTGCAATTGATTAAGATAGTCTTAAATGTACAACATTCTGCTTGCAGAAATTGAACAATATAAAAATAAATTTGTGTAAAGTCATATATGTCAAACTGTATATTGATTTCTATAGACGTTTTTGTTGAAAGAATGTCGATTTCAAATCATAAAATATATTTTAAAACCTTTGATTGTGAAGAAAATTAAATAAACCAAATAAAATAAAATAAATTAAATTTTTTTTCTCAAACATAATTTAATACTCAATTTCTATACATATTTAATTCCAATATATTAATAAAATTTTAAAAATATTTTTATAAATTTTAAATGTTTAAATTTTCAAATATGTATGTTAGAAACAATATATTTCTAACTGACAATAAAAATCGAAGAAACCACTTGATTCTAAATAACAAGTTTAATTTGAATAATTTTAAACTTTACAATTAATTTTGATTGCAAACAATCTAATTATTTTTTATGACATTTTATTGAAGCCAAGATGTTCTTCTTTAATAAATACTATTTATTAAATTCTGACGTAGACTACTGACCCTCTACAACGTAGAACTTCGCTATGTTAATCCACCTGGCCTTGATATGCCGAACCATGTCGTTAATTATGTTGCTGAACGTGGTATCCCTCAAGAAAGATTTTCTGCTCTGGAAGAGGCTTTACCCGATACCGACGTACTCTATATGACGCGAATACAAAGTGAGCGTTTCGCTACTCAAGAACAGTATCACAAGGTGGGTTGTTACTCGAGTACTGAAATTCATAAAGCAAGTATACATTCTATACGTGTACTTCTTTTATTACGAAACTCTGTACGAATTACGTTCTTAATAATTAATATACATTTCATTAAACATTTTTACGTTAATTCATCCAAATTATACAAAATTATTAATTATTAACGTGTTTAAAACTAAGTATTTACTTTGAATCACACTTTTTATTTATTTAATATATACTTTTAGATTAATTTTTGACATGTTAATTAAATTTTTTAAAAATCATTATATGTACAACAGATGTGCGGATTCTTCATAGTAACTCCGCAGCTGATGTCTCGTGCGAAAAGAAAGATGGCAGTGATGCACCCTCTACCACGTGTTTTCGAAATAAGCAAAGAATTTGACACTGATCCACGGGCGGCTTACTTTCGGCAGGCAGAAAACGGAGTCTACGTGCGCATGGCATTGTTAGCCATGGTCCTTGGACGCATTTAATCTGATCGTGGCAACCCGTCATTTGTGAAGCAAAGTGTCTGCTGAAGGAGGTCAACGATTGCGCCAAGAAAAAGACACAACATTTCTTCTACGATGCAATTTGCAAGAGCCAAGCTGAATATCGTTTAGAAATTTCAATCAAATGTGATAATCTAATTTAGTTATCACTATGGATTCACATCATTGCGCGTGCGTACGAATAAGACTTCATTTCGCATTCATAATGCTTGGCAACATTATTTATTTGTCAGACAAGCTGAGTAGACAATTAGATACGTAAAAGAATACAAACGCACAAGACACAGCTTTATATTGCAATTTTTTTTACGAATATTTTAAAATTTTCTGACAAAGCTTTTTTTTAAAGCAATTTCTATTTTAGATACTTTTTGTTAAAGTAATTTAATTATAGAGACATTTTTTACATACGCATGTTAATTTTTTATGAAGTATATTGAAGAAAAATGGTATACAGGGTTATAAAACTTTTTGAAAACTATATTCAAATCTAAAGACCGTCAATATAAGAACATAACTAATACGAATACGAAGCTTATCAGTCTAGCTTGGATCTTAGTTACTTATATATAATTTTGCATGAATTTATGTACTAATATATGTAGTTTTTCTAAACTGCGCGCCGAATAATTGTCGGTCTTGAAACGCAACTCTAACAAACTATCGTAGTACTATCATGAATTAAATTGATTAACAATTTAATAATTAATTGATGCTCTTTTCTGGCATCTTATATCAATGTTAAACTATATTAAAATCTGAAAATACTAATCTGAAAATAATTCTTCTTATTATAAAAAAATATTACCTCGGCCGGGAGTCAAACGCGGATCGCTTGCTTTACGCGCAAGTGTCTTAGCCAATTAGACTACCGAGGCCTTAGTAATATTTATATTTATATTTTGTGAAAAAATATACATTAAATTATAATTTAAAATAATATGAGACAATTATGTAAAAAAAAAAAAATGAGTAAATTATGGAAAAATACTCGATCCGGGTTCGATTCCCGGCCGAGGTAATACTTTTTGTAATAAGAAGAGTTATCTTCAGATTTTAATATAGTTTAACATTGATATAAGATGCCAGAAAAGAGCATCAATTAATTATTAAATTGTTAATCAATTTAATTCGTAATAGTACTACGGTATAGTTTATTAGAGTTACATTTCAAGACTGATAATTATTTGACGCGCAGTTTAGAAAGACTATACCTATATTAGTTCATAAATTCACGCAAAATTATATATAAGTAGCTAAGATCTAAGCTAGACTGTTATAGGCTTTGTTTTTGAAAACTATTTTTAAAGTAATTTGTTACCTTTATATAATACGTAAAAGTATTAACTTTTATAATATTCAAATTTTTTATCAAGAGAACTTATTGAAACCATTAAGGGGATCCTTAAGCAAAGCTTGAAGTCTAACGAAATCGCTAGATGTCGCTGTTTTACAACACATCGACATATCTTTTATATACTACTACCACAATATAAGGAAATACAGTAGGGATAAGGCTCCGTTTTCGATTCAGCCGCGCAGATTTGCTTGCGCATCGTAAAACAGCCATGTTTTTGGTAGCACCAATCCCGATCAAAGTAGAGAATCCATCATATCTACGTTATAATAATGGAAAAACATAACCAAACTCAGTTAAGTGTTTATCGTGTCACACCATGGACCTAAGAGTAGACCTATGAACCTATCTAAAGTAGACCCATGGACCTATCTAATCATTTTATTATAATTTGCTAAAATTAAAAATTTTTTATAGACAGTGGTTTCTAATACTATTGATACGGTACTTGACAACCAACAACATGGCGGAGTGAAAGTCCAGCTGAAAAAGATCAAAGGTGCCGACGCTGTTTGTCCCTACTGTATATCCTTATACTGTGCTACCACATTAATGGGCGCATTCAGCAGAAAAGAGCGCTACGAGAGCGCTCGCTGTTATTGGTATATTCTTCCAGATTTAAAATTCTGATTGGATGATCTAGAAGAATACACCAATAACAGCGAGCGCTCTCGTAGCGCTCTTTTCTGCTGAATGCGCCCAATATCTCACGCGACACGCAGACATTGATGCGCGCAGTCGCATTATATCTGTCAATTTTCGTATTGTAAATTCGTTGTGATAAAGTGTCTAAGTCTAATTCTAAGCACTCGACGCTGTTTGTTCATTCAAACTATGTGACTGTGGACTACTATTTCTTAAGTACAAATTGTGCAGCTTTTATGTGAAACAAATGTTGTTACGACGTGCAACGACGTGACAGCTCTGGAGCGCCATATTGGACTAAAAAATGGTAAAAAAGAACTCAATTTTGAAATTTTTTATCGTTTTCAGCATAGATTCCACCTCACAGGCACGTATTAATGCGTATACTTTAATTCTGTAAGATTCGAAAATTCTTTTAGGGTGCAAACCCATGCAGCGGAATAGCGTAACGCGGAACGATAGTAGAACCAATCACGAGATTCTCTAGAAACACGGAATGCTCGTTATTGGTTCTGCTCTCGTTCCGCGTTACGCTATTCCACTGCATGGGTTTGCACCCTAAAAGAATTTTCGAATCTGTGAATGACAAAAAAAGTATTTACGATACAAAAATTATACGATTTAGTCGATAATACAGGAGGCTTTAGGATCCTCTTAACTTCTAATTCGATTTCCGATAAGTAATTATAAGGCATTACCGCGTGTTTTAATTTTAATAATAATAAAAAAGTAATAACGGAATATAAAGTTAGGAAAATTTTATAATACAAAATTGTTATAAAACACAAACATAGTACAAAGTACAATATAAAACAAGTCTAATAAGAATAAAATTGCTAAATAAGCGGATTCTAGTAAAAAAAAACCCAGAAAATTTGTCTGTAGCAGCCATATCCATATTGATATTTACCACTTATCATATACTAGGTGTTTCAGACCATCCGTATCACCCTTCGCAGAATAAGGTCCAATCGAAAGTTTCAGACAAAAGTTGTAGGATTTTTAAAGACCTATTTACTGGCGCTACAAGTTTAACCTTGGGTGGCGTTGCCAAGATCAGGTCAAGGTCACATCGATTTTTTTTAATGGAACACTCCATTTTTTATTGCATATTTTTATAGCACATCTCGAGAGCTTTCCAAAACAGTATAATTAAGTTCATTTTGATGAAGTACTTTTTGAGTTATGAGGCTTGAAGGTTACAATCCCTCCGACGCGGCATTAGCATTGCTCAACTGCCTAAACGATGACAAAAACCTTTTTAATATTATTTAGGATTACTATCTAGATAATATTTATTTAGATGGAGTACAATGCATATATGTATTTAAAAATTTTATTTAATGCATTTTTTAAATAAATCATTTCGATTATACTAAACAGACTGTAAGCCCGGATTCTCATGCAGATACTGGCATTTTGATAGCGAGCATGATTGATGAAAAATGAGTATCGGGGGTAAATCTTATAACCTATTTTTTATCAATTAGTATTCGGCATCAAACACCGATGATCTGCATGAGGATTCAGACTAGACAACGCTCATGGAAGCATTTCCCAGTTATTTATCAAATGTTAAACAAGAACAAATAATGCTTGTGAACATTGTGAGCACCAAATGACGATGGCTACAACACAAAATTTTCCTAATTTTATATACTTCTTTGAACTTTTTATATTAATAATATGTAATAATAATTATATGTTTAACGGTATAAACTGCATATTAGTTTATAAGAGTATAAGATACATACAAAATATAAGATATATATATATACCCTGATAGCAAAACAGACTACAAAACCGTAGCCATCTGCGTTCGCATTTGGCTATGGATTTGGCGACAACATTTGCTGACAGTGACATGTTTTGCAGCAGATTGGTTGCAAAAACCGAGCAGAGTTTGTTGACAATTTTTGATTGCAGAAAGGCAACAAATTGTAGACAGAGTCTGCGTATTACCAAATATTGTCAGCAGACTCTGTTCGGTTTTTGCTACCAATCTGCCGTCAGATCATGTCGGCAGACTCTGCTCGGTTTTTGTCACCAATCTGCTGCAAAACATGTCAGCAAATGTTGTCGCCAAATCCATAGCCAAATGCGGACGCAGATGGCTACGGTTTTGTAGTCAAAATCTGATCGAGTTTGCCGCCAATTTGCGCGCAAATTGTCATCATTTTGCTATCAGGGTAATAAACTGCTGCCAAACTGCTGTCAACGTCTGCTGACATGTTTTTGTCAGCAGACATTGACAGCATGTCTGCAGATTGGTAGCAAAAACCGAACAGAGTCTGTTGACAATACAGACTCTGTCTACAATTTGTTGCCAATTTGCAATCGAACATTGTCAGCAGATTCTGCTCCAAATCTGTTTCCGCAGGCTTTGCTATCAGGGTATACAGGGTGGCTGAGAATAACCGCATAATATTTCATGGGTGTGTAGAACAGACTATACTGAGTCGAAAAGTCCTGTACCATTTTGCGATTGCAGTAATAGTTAACGAGATATTAATTTATAAAGATATTTAAATTCGCCCGGCCCACCGTCAAATGCAAGCGCGCGGCTGGATAGGACCGCCCAGGGAAACGCGCCGGGCTCGTTCGCCGTCGCTAGGCGTTGTTTATAACAAGCGTTGTTTATAACAAGCGGCAATAGTCGTCGCTAGACATGAGTCGCATGCCTAGCGACGGCGAACGCAAACGCACGCGGCGCGCTTTGCAGGGCGGTCCTATCCAGCCGCGCGTTTGCATTTGACGATGGGCCGGGCGAATTTAAATATTTTTATAAATTAATATCTCGTTAACTATTACTGCAATCGCAAAATGGTACAGGACTTTTCGACTCAGTATAGTCTGTTCTACCCACTCATGAAATATTATGCGGTTATTCTCAGCCACCCTGTATATATATATATGTATATACGTATATATACGCACGTACCAACGGCTTTTATTTCAAAAAATGACAGTGCCGACAGAATTAAGAAGATCGATAGAAAACGAATTACGTATTTCTTTCTCTCTCTTTCTCTCTCTCTCTCTCTCTTGTTCCAGCTAGCTAATTTTGTCCGTCTCTCACTCTCTCTTTCATACTCACTTCTTGCCGATTGCGACGATGCTTGCTTGATGAACACAACGGCACGATTCGTACTCCAGTACACGCACATACATACCGTTTGCACGGCTATTTCAGATTAGAATTATATATATATGACACATAACCCGCGATTTTAGATGTCCCGATTGTTCGTCCTGACGCGCGTATTAGCGGCGTGACGTCGTGGACGCAGGCGGTTAGCCGGTGTTCGGGCGGTTCTCATCATACACCATTTCCAATATTTGAAGAATTTCCTGGCCATTCTTGTTAAGTTTTACGAGAAATTTGATGTTAGTTCTTTGCTCGGTTAAAATGTCTCGCTCCATTCCGTCAACACGACTAAAAGTACGTTAATAAAAACAGACACGAAAAACAAAGATCTTACTCGACCGTGACCTAATTTTTACTAAGGACACGTGACGCTTCCCCCGAGAGGTTGCGCTACTGTACAAACTTATATAACGTCACTACATCGGCAGAATAAAATTAAGTGCACGAACTTTTTGTACATATCTCGTACACTCATCAAAAAACATTTCCAAGTGTAAATCTCATAACAATGATGCCAAATTTTATAGACTTACTTAGGTAACTACACTCATTGGCAAAAGAACAGACCACTAAATTTTTTCACAAATTTTTTCGAATAGTGATAGTGAAAAATCATCGTATTAAGATGAACCAAAGTTTGAATTAAAGCTTGGACATTCCTCTTAATAACTAAGAAAATCAAAATTGAGTTATAGAAACTATTTTACAAAATGTATGAATTTTTAAGTTCATAGATTTCGTAACAAATTCGTTTTTTCAACATTTTTTTTTATGTATAAAAGATATATAATTCATATATATATAAAGAATAAGAAATATAAATTACATAATTAATTTAAATGCTTACAAACGTCTACAAATAAATCTGATTTCTCGCGATAACATATTTTGGCTACAATGATAAAAAATAATGAAAAATTATTTTATACATAAAATATGAAAATGGCATACAATATATGTATAATATATGCGTATTATGCATGATTTGCGCGCGTGTGTGCATGTCGTATGTGCATGAGTTGATTACATTATTAAAATATATATATTGTTATTAAACTGAATCTAAATTGTACAATAGATTATAATGTAGAAAAACTAATTAAAATTAATAATCGCGTGTTAGTAATAATTAATAGGAAATGTCAAGATGGATTTATATACAAACAACTTTTAATTACATTCCCTATATTTATGTACAACATGTGCAAAATACATAATATTTATTTATATAATCAACAATTTATAAATAATCTTTAATTAAAACAATTTATATATAGTCATAATAATTTCAATAGCACCCCTGTGAAGCTAGCCCCCCATTATTTAAAAAAATAATTTTTTTTGAGAGTTCTGAATTCCAATAATTCCAGAGTTCTTGATAGGTTTAAAAAATAGTTCTGGCCATTAAAGCCATAAAAACGCGATTTAAAAATAAAACTAACTTCACGCAGCCCCCCATTTTCGAAAAATATTATTTTTTTTTAGAGTTCTGGATAGATTTAGAATAGTTCCACAGTTCCTGATAGGTTTAAAAAATAGTTCCGTTCGAGAAAGTAAAAAAAAACGTCATTGAAAAACCAGAAATTGTCACTGTGGTATTCTACGGTGGGAGATCGCTGTGGGATCGGAGGATCGCAGAGGTCCACAAATGATAATCGAACCGATTATGTAATATATGATTCTTTATTCAGCTCTATTTACAAGTGGTACAATAGATTATAATGGAGAGGAGCGTGTACGAAGCTATGCGGTCGCCATAGTAGGCCCCGAACCAGAGATATGGGATCTCGTAAAAAGATACTCCTCGCTGACCAAGCTACTCCGCATCACCGCATGGATTCGACGCGCAGTCGAACGTTTTCGCAAAGCTACCGCTGCACCCGCCGCTCAAGATCCTCTCACTCCGCTCGAATTGGACGCTGCGCTCGCTTTCTGGATCAGATTGACGCAAGTCACGTACTTTTCTTCGGAAATTCAACTCATCAAGACAAATAAATCGCTGCCGAAATCAAGTTCATTATTGCGTGTTGGTGAATCGGATGTGTTGCGCTAGGTTCTCTTTAATATCTGTGAAAGGACTTTGGGGTGCCTTTCGGCGCCTGTCTATGAAAGGATTTTTTTGAGGTGCCTTTCGGTACCCGCGGGAGGGAACTACTCTTCGAAGGAGTCGGAACCGAAGAGTTCCCGGAGCTGCTGTCGCTTGGCCTTGCTGACCTTGCGAAGGCGCCCTGGTGATCGGGGGCGCTTCCTCGGCGTCTTCGGTAACGGGCTGATCGGCTCGGGCGGCGGAGGTGGCCGCGGCGGAGACCTTAGCGGACGGCCGGCCTGGCTTGCTACGGACTGATGTTGCTGGTCGGTCTCAGACCACCCGTCCACCCCTTTAATCTCGAAAGCAGAGCATTTTAGAAAGAAACGTTTCAGACAAAAGTTGTTTGACTCGAAGGGGGACATAAGATGGTGCCATCGATTTGACCTTGGATAATCCTCTGAAGGTTACGTGAAGGTCACCTTTAATTTTTTAAATGGAATTATGTAATTTTTTTTAGATAGCGTGATTCCTCTAATTATTTTGCATATAAAAGTATTAAGGTAGAGATACCAAAAAACCAATAGTTTTCGAGATATTTTACACTTTATTTTGGTACATTTTGACACAAAATGTTAAATAACTCGTAAACTGTTGACTTTTTGATTATCGTACCTTAATACTTTTGTGAATAGAATAATAAGATAAATCAAATGGTATAAAGAAAACACATAGTTGCGTATTTAAAAAATTATCCATTTTGCATACATATTTTTTTTAAAGCAACTATATTCTTCGCAATATAGAATATTAGAATAAATTATCAGATTCAGATTTTAAATTGTAATTTGACTCTTATTTGCCACTTTTAACGTATTATAATTATGTTACTTTGTGTTTACTACTTTCCGTATATGTTTGTATATTATTATGTTCTACATATTTTACGTTAAAAAGTGAGATTAATTTGTTTTAGTAACGTAATAACAAACGTACCTGCTCAAGTAATAGATTTTTATGTTACATATGTGTTTGTATAATAATTTTGTGTTCAATATATTTTATGTTTATTAAGCGAGATTATTTTATTTTATTAATGTAACGAGAGATAACAAACATACTTGAAAAATAAAATATAGAACAATAATTGTAAGGTAATATTATAATATATATATAAATATTTATTACCATATAATTATTACAAAAGTTAAGCCCAAGACACAATGCGAGGGAATAGCGATAGCGATAAGTTTCAACCTATGAAAAATGTGTATTTCGGTGTATTCGATTTCTGATAAGTGGAAACTTATCGCTATTGCTATTCCCTCGCATTGTGTCTTGGGCTTTACAATTTTACAAAAAAATATTGTTTACAAATATAAAATAAATATATAATTTTATATTTAAAAAGGTTATATCATATATTCCTGCCATTCAACATTACCGACAGTATTAAAGTATTCTTTAAACGCATCGCGAATACGAATTGCATTCATATTTGGTCTTATATTTGTGATTTCTAAGTTGCGTAATTGTATATTACTTCTCCATGTAGCAAACCAAGTATGTTCTAAATTTTCGTTATCTATATCAGTATATAAATAAGCAGCATTTTCTTTAATAAGATAGTTATGTAACGCACAACATGCAAGTGTTATATTTTGGACGGTTCCAACAGGTAGATATATTTGTGTTAAAAGAACTCAAAATTTATTTGCTAATATGCCAAATACATTTTCGACAACTCTTCTACCTCTGCTTATTCTATAATTGCATATCCGCTCGTCATGAGATAAATTTCGTGAAGGATATGGTTTTAATAAATGATTTTGTAATGGGAAAGCAGCATCAGCTAATATAACGTATGGAATAGATTCGTTTATGCCAGGTAATGACTTATCTTGTGGCACATTCAATGGATTTTGTGCATTATTTAACAGTTTTGCAAAGTCACTATCACGGAAAACTCCTCCATCACTTACTCTACCGTTAACTCCCACATTGACGTATGTGAATTGATATTGCGCGTTTACTAGTGCTAAGAGAACAATACTGTTAGTGCCTTTGTAATTATAGTATAATGATCCATCCTGTAAAGGTGCTCTAAATTCTATATGCCGCCCATCCATGGAATTAATACAATTTGGAACATTCCATAATCGTTGATAATCATCTGCAATTTGTTCCCATTCTACAGTTGTATTTGGTGTCTATAAAAAACATTAAATATAAATTACTTGTTGATTAGATGATAGGCAAAGTATAACAAGTTAATGTTGTCATAATATGATATATTATTTCGTTATCGAAAAGTATTACTGGCCAATTTATCACAGCGAGTAATATTTTTCTGTAAAAATTATTAATGATAACATCCTATTTACCTTTAAGTAATTCTCTCGAAGGAGCTCATATATAAAACGACATGTTTCAGGTATTATACGAGAAATCGTACACGCTGGAATCCTTGTAGAATATTCCAAACTTCTGTAACTTTCACCAGTAGCTAGAAACCTTAAAAGGCTCTATCGGTATTCCGACGTCAAATGAGGACTACGGAAAAGTGTGGAAAAAACTGCTTTTAACACTCAAATCTTATTTTTAAAATTATAATTTTATTTAAGATGACTGTTAAATTGATTAATTTGAAGTGTACACAATGTATATTATTTATTAAGTAAAAAATACAAGGTTTGGTTGAAGAGAGTAGTAACCTTGAGGCTCTGAAGCGCATGCGCGTGAGCTCGCGACAGCAGAAGCGTTATAACCTATACACTTTTTACAACTTCTTTATTAAATATCTCATTCACTTCTTCGGCAACGTATTATTTTTTTTTGCTTTAAATGATAAACGAGATCCTACACTTTCAATATATCAGTTTGTTATTTACTTCTTGACACATTCTGAAAAAATATATCTTTATAACTAATAAATTTTTCATATCCCCCATAAGACATGTGTATTAATCGGACTTTTCAAAAGCGTTTTTCCTGAGTTTGAAGTCGGCAACCCTACCTAAAAACTTTACCTAGGGCTTTAGCTACTTTTAAAGAACAATATTTATATTTTTTCATATTTTTCTAGTCATCTTGCCCTAACGATAGAACCTCCTTAAAGTGAGTGATATCCGTTCTTTAGCTGATATACACTGTCTCATATTAGTATCTTGACGTTGTATATAAGGTGTTACTATTTCTACAAGTTGATCGAATAAATCAATTCGCATTCTAAAGAATCTTCGGAAATATTCTTGATCTTCAATTCTTAAATCTGTATGTGCTAAATTGATTATTCCTCTTGTTGGGGTAAGACAACCAGCTCTTCGGACAAAGATTCAGGATATCAGTGGAAAAGAGTTAACCAAAAATGACGAAAACAGCAAATACTTTAATGTACCTTTATTAACTGCCGCGTCACTATGCTCAGTTTGGAAACGACTGACTGACATGCGCACGGCACGCAAGCCGGCAGATAAGCAATCCCACGGCACCACGCATGCGCAAGACAACAAGCATGGATAAAGGAAATATACAAGGCTTACTTCAATACCTCTCAATGAACGATTTCTTTCAAGTATCCATTTACGTGTCCAAATAGACCGACGTCGTCGTTTTCTTTTTTCTTCATTCCATTTTTGTATCTCTTTTTTTTCTATAATTTCAGCAATCAATGTGATTGCTATACATTTTTTAACTTTTGAGGATATCATCATATTTTTATTATCATTGAGAGATAATTTTGCAGGTTTATATAATCGAATGTATCTAAAAAAATGAAATAATAAATATATTATATATATTTATATTTTAATTACTGCTCGATACGGTCAAAGTTAGGTCTCGATGGCTAATAATATTATTATCTATAAATTTACATTTATCAATTCATTTTAAAACTGCGTGGTCGTTACTTTCGGATATAAACGCACCCAGATAGCCAAACCCACCAAAAGCACGCATTGCAAATTTATGCTACATATTATAATGGCAAAAATCTAGCAGCAGTCGAACACGGTTTACCGTTTCAGTATAGCCATAACAGAAATGCAGCAAAAATAGAGCAGACCTGCGTCATAATACACTAGCAAAAATTCTGTAAAAATTCATCAAACTTTGCCGAAATAAAGCAAGCAGAAATCGAGCAATACATGCTGACAAAATAAATTAACAAAAAATAGATCAAAACTTGATATAAAACATGACTACATGTTAAATCAGCAAAATGTTGTTAAAAATCTGGCACACTTATTGTCATATTATGACAGCAAAAACGCAGCAAAAATCGAGCACAGCCTGCCGTCACGTCGTGACTACAAAAACGCGTCAGATATAGAACGTGATCTGCCCTATCAGCCATTGATGGCGAAGACGCAGCAAAAATCATGCATAATCTGTCTATTTATATAAATTGTCTATTTAATAAAATATTTTTATTAAAAGTATATATAGACAATTCGAAACATCTCTGTCAATAAGGTAACAGTGGAGCAGTACGTTAGGTGAACGACTCAGAACTGGACCGTGGATCGAGTCACGAGTTCAAATCCTATCAGGTTTAAAAGTTTTTTCCTAGGTATTTATTAGTCAGTTCAGCACTTAAGGAGAGGACACAAATGATGGAGAGAGAAATATAATTAATAAGAATTTAATTAAATTAAGAATTGCTGTAACTTTTTTTTTTCTGCAGTCTATGCGCGATTTTTGCTGCGTTTTTGCCATCAATAGCTAATTAGGTAGATCACTTTCTATATCTGCCGCGTTTTTGCAGTCACGACGTGACGGCAGACTGTGCTCGATTTTTGCTGCGTTTTTGCTGTCAGTACTGGTTATGTCAGATTGTGCTGTATTTTTACCGCGTTTCGCTGTCACGATGTGTTAGCAAATAATGATTGATTTTTGTTGTATTTTTATCGTTGTATTATGTTGGCAGGCTAAGCTGTTAGAAACTAAGCTTAACGAGGAAGCAGCAGCTTGATATCTGCTGTAACATCATGATCAAGTTTGCTGGCATACTGCTAGCATTTTGCTATCTGGGCAATCATGAACTACCGTAGCATGAATTAATAAATGTAAATTTACATATAAATATTATTAGGCACTGAGATTCAGCTTTGACCGTATCGGGCGGTGATTATTATGTAGTATGATCCACTAAAACAGTCATATTTGAAATTTATATTTTATTATACCTTCCCAGACAGCCAAACCTGCCAAAAGCACGCATTGCTAATTTATACTACATTATTATAATGGCAAAAATCGAGCAACAGTCGAACACGGTTTACCATTTCAGTATAGCGCTAATAGAAATATAGCAAAAATAGAGCAGACCTACGTCATAATACACTAGCAAAAATTCTGTAAAAATTCATTAAACATTACCGAAATAAAGAAAGCAGAATTCGAGCATTACATGCTGGCAAAATAAATTAACAAAAAATAGATGAAAACTTGATATAAAACATGTCTACATGTTATAAATCAGCAAAATGTTGTTAAAAATCTGGCACACTTATTGTCATATTATGACAGCAAAAAGGCGGTAAAAACACTGCACGATCTGACATAATTACCCAGATAGCCAAACCCACCAAAAGCATGCATTGAAAATTTATGCTACATATTATAATGGCAAAAATCGAGCAGCAGTCGAACACGGTTTACCGTTTCAGTTAGCCATAACAGAAATACAGCAAAAATAGAGCAGACCTGCGTCATAATACACTAGCAAAAATTCTATAAAAATTCATCAAACTTTGCCGAAATAAAGCAAGTAGAAATCGAGCAATACATGATGACAAAATAAATTAACAAAAAATAGATCAAAACTTGATATAAAACATGACTACATATGTAAAATCAGCAAAATGCTGTTAAAAATCTGGCACACTTATTGTCATATTATGATAGCAAAAACACAGCAAAAATCGAGCACAGCCTGCCGTCACGTCGCCACAGTGGGTAAAAAGGTTCACTTTTAGAACAAAAATTTACCGACAGTGCAATTTTCAACCGATTTTAATATTTTTTTTTTAATTTATTCGTAATGAAATGCTCTATAACGTGATGCTGCTTTTATATTTAAACAAAGCTTGAATTTAAAATGGCGGATCAAAAATGATTGTCGAAGGTGTTAAAACGATATTGAATATGTTAACTCACAAAAACACATAAACCGTTGTAACGAAGCAATGTAACAAAATTCTGCTAATTAATAATGTAATATTCTCTAATTAACAATATACAATAATATTACAGACTGTGAAAGCGTTTAAAAATAATAATGTACCTAACTATGCTTACTAATTTTTCTATAAATCTGTTGAATATTGCATAATTCCAATATTTTTTATTCCGATATTAAAAATCATTTTGAGTTTAGGATTTTTTAATTGCTAAATTTATATTCAGTGCCTCAAGAAATCCACATGTATCTAATTTAAGGTAAATATATTCGATATTGTATGTGAGATATCATATTCAATATCGTTTTAACACGTTCGACAATCATTTTTGATCCGCCACTTTAAATTCAAGCTTTGTTTGAAAACAAAAGCAGCATCACGTTATAGAGCATTTTATTACGAATAAATTAAAAAAAAAAGAAATTAAAATCGGTTGAAAATTGCACAATCGGTCGATTTTTGTCCAAAAAGTGACCTTTTTGCCCACTGTCGTGACTACAAAAACGCGTCAGATATAGAACGTGATCTGCCCTATCAGCCATTGATGGCGAAGACGCAGCAAAAATCATGCATAATCTGTCAATTTATATAAATTGTCTATTTAATAAAATATTTTTATTAAAAGTATATATAGACAATTCGATACATCTCTGTCAATAAGGTAACAGTGGAGCAGTACGTTAGGTGAACGACTCAGAACTGGACCATGGATCGAGTCACGAGTTCAAATCCTATCAGGTTTAAAAGTTTTTTCCTAGGTATTATTAGTCAGTTCAGCACTTTAAGGAGAGGACACAAATGATAGAGAAAGAAATCTAATTAATAAGAATTAAATTAATAAGAATTTAATTAAATTAAGAATTGCTGTAACTTTTTTTTTTCGGCAGTCTATGCGCGATTTTTGCTGCGTTTTTGCCATCAATAGCTAATTAGGTAGATCGCATTCTATATCTGCCGCGTTTTTGCAGTCACGACGTGACGGCAGACTGTGCTCGATTTTTGCTGCGTTTTTGCTGTCAGTACTGATTATGTCCGGTTGTGCTGTATTTTTACCGCGTTTCGTTGTCACGATGTGTTAGCAAATAATGGTTGATTTTTGTTGTATTTTTATCGTTGTATTATGTTGGCAAGCTAAGCTGTTAGAAACTAAGCTTAATGAGGAAGCAGCAGCTTGATATCTGCTGCACGTCATGATCAAGTTTGCTGGCATACTGCCGGCATACTGCTAGCATTTTGCTATCTGGGTTATTGTTTTCTGTAAATAAAGAAATATTACGTTGCACAAATGCTTTTATGTGAATAAATAATTTACAACACTTTTCTGTGTTAAAGTAGATGTTTTTGAAGGTTAGAAAATTATGTTATAGAATCGTCCGCGATAAGAGACCTCTGTACGAGAACTATGTTCAAGAACTCGGACCGATTTCTAGCATCGTGGACACAAGCCTTATAAGTAGACGCGAAAGATTTTGGTGCCTTTGGCTGACTTAGGTCAAGATAAGTTGTTTGTTGGCGATATTTTTCAATTATGGCTGCTTTCCAGCTACGACACAAGTAGACACTGTGTAACACAATGAATCATTGCATCCCTGTTGTTTGCCTACGTTAAACGAGGATGAAACGATTCTCTGTGTTACACAGAGTCTGATTCTGTCCTTGCTGGAAAGCACCCTATCTTGCTTCTAAAGGTACAATTTCATACAGCGAAGCTTCGCTGGCGATGATCCCCCACTCCGCCGTAAACGAAGCCAGCGTTCTTCGTTCTTTGCTGAAATCCTTTTCATGGGTGCTTCGCTGGCGAAGCTATCCCCACTACTGTGCTGCGAATAAAGAAGCATTGAAAACGTTTACTGAAAAGTGTGGTTATAGTAAAAGTAAAATATTATAGAATAAATTGTTCGGTAATTATAACGAAACATATGTTACGTCCAGATGATTCTCACGATTATTTCTTTCGGAAAGGTTTACAAGTGTCGAGATAGCGAGACCATAAATAAATGATCGACAGTCCGGCTGTCGCTTTACCAAAAACCTAAGTAAAATACTCGCTATCTCGTTATAAATGTCATTCTAAGACAAATCATTTACGAGCGCACTTCTTCTTCTTCTTCTTTGGTTGGCCCGGCAGCATAAAACAAGCTGGTACTGGGCCACTGAGGTCTGCGTTTTAGCGTATAAAATGGAGTCGATGCATGTACGGTAACTGAGTCTAGTGTGTGAATGTGATGCCATTTTCCGTCCATCCAGACGCCTGCTGCCGCCTGACGGTGGTCGCGCGCCATAGGAGAGGAGGGAATTTCAAAAGAAAAATTCGCTAGCTTTCATGAAAGCTAGGAGGAGTCTTATTAGCGTGAGAGAGGGATGGGAAAGGAAAGGGAAGATATCTACAGGGGGAGTAGGAGTGTCTTGAGATAAGTATTTTCGGAGTTGGAGGGCCTTTTGTTCAAAGAGAGGGCATTCAAATATGACATGGTTGATCGTTTGTTTTATTGGACCACAGGAACAGTCTGGCGAATCAATCATATTGACCCTATGTAGGCTTTCGTTCAGATTATAGTGGTTGGATCTGAGGCGGTTTATCATTACAACTTTTTCCCTCGTAAGCGAGTATTCGTGAAACCAGGTCTTCTTAGAAGTCAGAGGGTAGCGCTCAAAGTGAAGAGTGCCCTTGGATTGAGCCCTGGTCTTGAGATAGCTGTTAAATCGGTGCTTTGCAACTTCCCTTGCCTCACTGAAGAAGTCTTCATGAGAAATTTTGAAATTAGCGGAAACTCCGTTGGTTGCAGCATTTTTGGCTATACTGTCGGCTGTTTCATTTCCTGGGATTCCTTTATGGGAGGGAACCCAGAAAAGAGTAACAGATATCTGAACTTTGGCTGCCCTAAGAATAGTCTGCTTGACGCGATATATAATATAGTTCCTCTGGTAATGTTTATCATCACAAATCGCCTCTATGGCACTCTTGGAATCGCTGAAGACGGTGATACGACTGTGGTCAGCATCCAACGCGAGTACAACTGCCTGATAAATGGCCCAGAGTTCTGCAGAAAAGATCGATGTTTCCGCAGGGAGTTTATGAGCTATTTGGATGTTTAATTCCGGGGAGAATACTCCCGCGCCAACCGAGCAATCAGCCTCTTTGGAGCCATCTGTGTAGAAGGTGATTGAGTTGTGTCTGTAGTCAAAAGATTTATGAAGAAATTGTGCCAGTATCGACCCTGGGGGGCCTCTCTGTCGCATTTCATCATTTCAAAGTTGTTGTCTATTTCATGAGAAAGAACTTCCAGGTCGTGCCAGAATACTGCAGGATAAACTGAAGAGTGGATATGTTTTTCTGCTTGCCTAACTGTGACGTATATCTTAAATAGAGGAGAATCTCGGATAGCCTCAATTCTGCGGTTCTTACGAGTAGCAATCAGCTCCATTTGAATCAATGCAGCGTACGTTTCGCTGAACTTGTTAGCCATTGATTTGTAGATGTGTTTGGTAATGGAAAGATTGAATCTCAGATGTAGAGGTGGAATTCTCGCCTCGCCTAACATGGTGTTTATGGGAGTAGAAATGCGGTATCCCATAGCCCTCCTGACCGCCTTGTATTGGATTCTTAGAAGCTTAACAAAAGCCGCAGATTCCGTAGCCCAGTTGAAAAATTGAGCCCCATATTCAATTGCACTACCCAAGATGGAGCGGTAAACGGTAAGTAATATGCTAGGGTGAGAACCCCAGGAGACACCTGCGAGCGCCGTGATGATGTTAACAATATTTTTCCCCTTCTCAGTGAGGTACTTAAGATGAAGATTGCCATTCAACTTATGGTCTAAGATGACCCCGAGGAAGCGATGTGAGTTCACTCTGGGAATCTCTTGATCATTTATCAGCAGTGGAGGAGGAGAAAGAATGTTCACATTCCGTGAGAAGATCATCCACTTGGATTTCGATGGAGAGTTGTCTAGTCCTCTATTTCTCAGATAGGCGTAAATGTTATTCAGAGACTCTTGAATGTATTTAATAGCGTCAGAGACGTTACTTAAGGTAGTAAATATAACCGCATCATCGGCATACTGCAGTAAGCTAACTTTTTCATGTACATGAGAGGCCATATCCTTGAGATAGATGTTAAAAAGCAACGGACTGAGGGTAGAGCCTTGTAGTGTCCCCTTAAAAGAATCGAAGGGGCCCAGAAGTTCGCCATCGACAATGAAATTCAAGGATCGCTTACTAATAAAGTTCTCTACAAATTTTCTGACAAATGCAGGTACCTCTATGTCGAGAAGGTCGTTAACAAGCATGTGTGGTATAACATTATCAAACGCTCCGGCGATGTCAATGAAGACTGCAACCGTAGGAGAGCGACTCAAGAATCCAGTATAAATTTTGGTCGTAAGCGAGGCCAAGTTATCTGCGCAAGATCTAAAGGGTCTAAACTCCGATTGAATTTGAGGGAGTACTGGACGCGATTCAATATACCAAATTACCCTATAATATATTAACCGTTCCATGATCTTGGCGAGGCAAGGAATTAGAGAGATCGGTCTAACCGATGTAACTCCCGGCTTGGGGATGAGAACCACGAGCGAATTGATCCATGTAGACGGAAGAACTCCAAGGGTAAATATATCATTATAAATTTCTAGAAGGTGCTTCAAGAGGTCAGAGGATAGACTGAGAATGATCTCATAGTCAATCTGATCAAGTCCTGGGGAAGATTTCTTCCGGACCGAAGATAACGCTCTATCAAGGTCTTTGAGGGTGAAAGGTTCATTTAAAAGAGAGAAGGTGTTCGGGCTTTGTGCATCTTCAAGGAGCATCTTCTCTATAGACTTGGTACAGTTGGGAAAACAGGAGGGGGGACACAGCTTGGAAATCGCCTCGTAAGAGCTTTTCTGAAGTTCGAGGTGATTAGCGGTAGAGTTAGTTTTGACACGTTTGAAGCTTCTGATGAGTGACCAGACCCTCGTCATAGGGGTGCGCCCATCAAAACTTTGGACAAGTTTACGCCAACCAGAGCGTTTATTTTGAGATAGTATGCGGGAGCAGTCTGCACGAGAAGATTTGAATTGCGCATACGTAACTGAAGAAGGATGCTTAAGAAATTCTTTGAGAGTTCGTCTACTGCCTGAGTACATTCGTTATTCCACCACGGAGGGGGGTCCGGTCGTTTTGTGTAGACTCGACTGATGGGAAATCTTTTGTGAACCGGTATAAATCTTCTGGCGGAATCTAGAACAAACGTAGTAAGATTATTATATCTATCGATAGGGGAGACTTCGGGATTAACTAAGACTTCAGAGTCGTGACAATTGAAATACAGAGAAAGATTCTTAAGATCGTTTGGCTTTAAGGAGAGTTTATAACAAAATTTAAGCGAAAATTGTGGGGCAAATTGAAATTTCGAGATAACCGGTCGGTGATCGCTGCCATGCGTATCCTCATCGACCCATGAACTAGAAATTGAAAACAGAAGAGGAGAGGCTATTGCCAGATCTATGTTAATAGAGGCGTTGGAAGAAGGGTGTACAAGCGTAGGAGCGTCTTTATTGAGAACAATAAGATCATGCTCTTCTATCTGTTTGAGAAGGTGAATACCCGAGGATGAATTGTGGGAACAACCCCACACCCGGTGGTGCGCGTTAAGATCGCCGACGATAAGAAACAGTTTAAAGGTATGAAAATGATTAATGAGATTTGAATAGAATGACGGAGGAGTATACTGACCTGAGTGCCTATATAAATTAATAACTATTATAGGATCCTTAGAGGAGAGAAGTTTAATCACTAGAAGCTCAGTTGAAGAGTGAGAAAGGGCGGAAACATCGAGCTTCTCGAAAAGTATGTTTTCTCTGATTAATGTGCATACACCTCTTTCACCAGGTTGGGTAATATCTGATCTGATAATTTTAAAACCGCGAAGATTAAACTTGTTATTTGGTTTGAGCAGGGTTTCCTGCAAGCAGATTATATCATATTCAGAAGAGATAGACTGCAAAGAGGTTAGATTGCATCTAGCACCTCTGCAATTCCATTGCATTAGCGTCAGATTGCAAGCAACATTCCTAGAATCACTACGGGGATGCCTGATGCTAGGGAGAGATTCTGTAGATATCGGCGAAAGGATATTAGAAGTAGACTGCGAGGGAGAATTAGTTCCGAAAATTATTTCCTTGAAACTGCGAGGGCATAGAAGGGTGCGATAATGATTGAAAGCTGTAAGCAGAAGGATGGAATTGTCGTATGTTATGATTTTCACTAGGAGTCATATCAGCAAATTGGTTGTCGGAAGGATGTGTTGAAGGTTGAGAGTTAGAACAGAATGATAAAAGGGTGCTGATAATTTTGGAAACATCATTGGACTGCAAGAATTTTATTAGATCCGTGATCAGGCGAAGTATATGATTAAGAGGTGCAGAGTCAGTTGAGGGAGGATTCATGTAGGGGGGGGGGGAGCAGTTAAAACCTAAGGGAGGGGAAAATTCTTGTGTCAGAAGCCCATTAGAAGCGGAATGCGGGGATCTACCGTTAGACTCCCATAAAGCGTCGCGGTGCGCCTCCCTGTCAAAGCCGGGAGAGAACGATTGCAAACCTGAGCCTTTTCTCGAGAAGGAGGTAGTGCCATGAGCAGCAAATTGTTTGTGGGTATCCTTTGCGAATGAGCTTTTCTTGGATGCGACTGTGATTGAGAGTTGATGACATCGGCATACGATCTGAAAGTATCAGATGATACATTATCTTGTGGTAGATTATAAGGATTGTAAGATTCAAAATTAAAACGTCTCTCAGCGTGATTGCGAGCTTTGAATAGAGGAAAATTGCCTGAATTGAGGTTTAGATCTGTCCTAGGGATATTATTGCCATAGCTGCTAACAATTTTTTTAGCGTTAGCAATAGGTATATTTGCGGTAGCCGCGAGGCCAATAATGTATTCGTGTTTGAAGATGTGGGAACAATCTTTCGAGATGGCACTATGATTGCCCTGACAGTTTATACATTTGATAGGCTCACCTTGCGCTGGACAAATCTCATTTTCTGCATGCTTTTTGTTACCGCAATTTAGACATCTAGGCTCTCCCTTGCATACTTTGGCAATATGACCAGCCCGATAGCATGAGTAGCAGATTTTGGGCCTTGGAATATATGGTCGGACTTCGTGTCTAGTTCTGAAGATAAAAACTGCCTCCGGAAGATGTTGGCCTAAAAATTTGATACGCAAGGTTTTAGAAGGAATGTATTCGCTGGTGCCTTCCCTGATTATCCTGCGATTAAGTCTCTGAATATCAATGATTTTACAGTAGGGTACTTTTATGTTAGAACGTAACGTTTCGAGGTCAATTTCAACAGGAACGTCTTGGATGACACCAATCCTCAGGACTTTATAGGCAGGTATGAAGGCTCGAAGGTTATGTTGAGCGAAGGTGGGATTCTCCGTGATCCTGTTAGCAGTGATGGCAGAAGTTGCTTCAATAAGTATTTTGCCTTTGCCCATTTTCTTAATTTCCTGTATGCCAGGAATACGAGCCTTGGCAATAATACTACTAATCATAGTGGGATGAATGAGCGTGTCTCGATTGGTATGATATACATACACTACATAAGGACCACTGTCTTGTTTCTGATAAAGCAACGGGGGGTCCTTACGCAGAGGTTCAACCAAAGTGTTAGAATCCTTGTTATTACTTACGGCATTACCGGGTAAAGTTGCCTGAGACGAGTTTACTGAACAAGTTGCGCGCATCCCTTCGTCAGAGCTTTTCTTTGGCGGCGTGACGCTAGCTATATCTCCATCGATATGTCTAATATTTGTACCTGTGCGCTTCCTCGTGTTAATGACTTCCGAGATTTGCATTTCCTGCGGCTCTGTTGATGTAGAAATTGTAGGATCTATCATGTTAATATCCGCATTGGACGCAGTGTAGGATGATGGATCACATGCGGGGATGATCGAGAGACCAGGTTCTTGGGTAAGATTCTTCAAAAGGTCTCGATCCGTAAAGCCTGCAAAGCCCGTGTCACTGTAATCCGCGGAACACACAGATTGGGGAGAAGAGGGGGCATTCGAACCAGGATTGAGTGTTAAAGTAGGAGGCTGTAAGGAAAAAGAGCTATTCGCGCGACCACGATCTTCACAGCCCCCGCCTGATTCCGAAGCCATCACGAGCGGGGGAAGTTATGTCTTTTAAACGAGGTCCTGCGCGCTTAGATAGTTACACAGAATAAACTAATGTAGTATACAGAGAACTACGACGCAATAATTAGATAAACCACGAAAAAACAGGCGCCAGGCGCCAAAAACTATAGAAGAAGCTATCGAGACTATCACAAGCGATCCGTAACCTTCGCGAGCTCAGTTGGGACTGTTTACGAGCGCACGTGCACAAATCGTGAGAACGCGAACTCCACGGTGTGCACCTGCGAGAGCCCGAATTTGGTGGCGCTCCTCCGTTGCCCCCTTCCGAAATTTGGGAATCGAGCGTGACCAAATCTCGGGTAGAGTTCGTTGCGCCTTTCCGCAGCTCCTCCGGGAATCGGAGCTTGGACGTAACAATATTGATTTTTATAATTAAATGATAAGAAATCAAAATATCATTATTGTCACCTAGTTACGAGAATTCCAAAAGCGTTTTCAATAATACGTCATGCTCTTGAAAGTTCTATAGTTGAAAACTTTTTGTTTGATTCCTAATAAGTTTTCCTTGCATATGGTCGCAGAAGATTTAAACGCAAGAGGAAAATTTCTTCACCTACAAAGTAGTGATGTGCTAATATTATTGTTGAGTTTGGCAGTAACTTTGGTGGTGGCAGATTTAATTCATCATGTTCCAGAGCTTGTCCAAATCCCAATGCATTAAGAATGCTTGTATCTGATAGTGATTCTGAAACAATTACAATAATTAGAGAATTGAACGAACTTACTGTGAAGTTCGATTATAATTATGCTGTCTCGTCCGGATGGATATAAATGTAGTAGCGTTCCGCTGCGTTATCCTCAACAGGGTTTAAAGCTCATAAGAATCCGGCTTTCTACGCACTGCCTCGCGCCTGCGCGGGCCGCCATCTTCATTGTTTTAAAAAACCTACAAATCTAAATAAGGATGGTAGTGGGTGGGATCATCCATCCGGACGAGACAGCATAATTATAATCGAACTTCACAGTAAGTTCGTTCAATTCTCTAATTATGCCACGTCTCGTCCGGATGGATATAAATGTAGAAATTTAAAGCCTAGATTTGTAGTTAGGAGAAAAAAGTGTTAATATCATAATACTTTAATCTTCTCAAAGACAATATTACAGATTAATTACTTACAAAAAGAATTTCTCCAAATCAATGGGAGCTGAGAATTGCTGACTGAAATGTCTGATCTGCAATAATCGGACGATTGTAGAACCGAGCGAATACTTCCGAAGACTTGCTCCAACCCGCCGTTCGACGGATTTCATCTACACTAACGCCTTTGCCGGCGGCAAAAGAAGTTGAAGCATGCCGTGTAGAATGGGCCGAAAATATTGCGGTGTTAACTCCCGCTGCTCTTAGCTCCATTTTAATCCAACGGCCCAACGTCTGCGCGGATACCGAATTATATGGAGAACGCACAGCAATGAATAAAGAGTTGGCATCTTCGGGACGTAGTTCCTTAGTACGCTCAATATAAGAGCCTGTTAACGAGTAGATACAGAGCTCCGGCTTGTCTAAAAATGGTTTGAATACCAGAAGAGGCTGTGGTCTTCCAATCTTGGAAGTTTTAAGCCTAGCAGGAATCTTAATAACTAGAGAATCCGCAAAAACAATATTAGAAAGACGTATTGCCGCCAAAGTTTGTAGTCTTTGCGCTGTTGTAAGCGCTAGAAGGGTCACTAATTTTCTGGATACTAATTCTAGCGAAAGCTCTTCTGAGGATACATCGAAGCTAAGTGGGCGATGACCGGAGATGGGTCCCAAATAAAATCGTAACGTGGGGTCTGAGGTTTTAACGTTGACACTCCCTTAAAAAATCTCTTTATCAAAGGGTGAGAGCCAATCTCATTAGAAGATATCAAAGAGATGGCTGCTCTATACGTATTTAAAGAGGAGTATGAGATCCTGCCTAGAGATGAAGAAGATAAAAATTCCAGCACAAGAGAAAAAGGTGGTGAGAAACAATTAATTTCCTTTATCTTGCAAAAGTTCCACCATAATCTGAGTGGCCTGGTATATTGATTGATTGTTGCTTCTGAAAGTGATGCAAGTGTTGCGTCTAACGCTGAAGCTGGAGTTCCTCTAGTTAAGAATGCTTGGCGGATAATTTGGCGGCCACCAGGCAAATCCTGTTCCATGCTGGATGAATCTCCCTGAAAGGAGATGATAGCATATTAGTATCGGGCTCAAACCGGATTGGTTGATTAATCATAAGGCGGTTAAAGAGAGGGAACCATGGTTGTGCTGGCCACCAGGGAACAACTATAACACCCTCTGCTTTATCAGAAATAATCTTTCGAAGCACTCTTAAAATCAAAATAAACGGGGGAAATGCGTAAAAATATAGCCCACTCCAACATATCGAGAATGCGTCTACTGCGAAAGCTAAAGGATCAGGAAGCCACGAGACAAAACAAGTACACTTGGCATTGATTGATGTGGCAAACAGATCTACATCGAAAGGCCCAAAATATGCTTCGATCTCTGAGAAATAGCCTTGATTCAAAGCCCATTCCGACTCTTCTGAAATTACGCGAGATTCCGCGTCCGCTTCAATATTCTGAGCGGAGGGGATGTAAGAAGCGTAAACAAATAGATCGCGATCTGCACACCACATCCATATTTGTCTAGCTAGATTTGACAAAGTCGGAAACTTAATCGAACCCATGCGATTGATATACGATAAAGCCGTTGAATTGTCTACCCTTAAGAGAATGTTACCGTTTCTTAAATCTGAGGCAAAGCATCTTAAGGCATGAAAAACTGCCAAAAGCTCGAGGAAATTAATATGTTTCTGTTTTTCCTCCGGCGACCAAAATCCATGAGTTCGCGATTTCCCACAAACTGCTCCCCATCCCGTCAGCGATGCAGCTGAAAAAATTTCTCGAATAAAGAGACCCGATCTAATCTTATTATGTTGTGCGTAATCCGTGAAAACATTCTTCCACCAAAGGAGATCTTCTCTAATTGAGGCAGGTAGAGACATTCGGGCCTCAAAATTCTCATTCGCTGCTAAAAGAGCAAGAAATTTTTCTCTCTCCAAAATCTTAGTGTGTAATAAACCATACTGTACAGCAGGACAAACTGAAACTAAAGAACCGATAAAACTTGCAAAAAGTCGAATCTTACATGATTTAGTGTTTAATATAGCTATTGCTTTTTCCAATAGTTTAAGGCTCCTGAATACTCAGCCAAGAACTCCGTGTTGATGGGTAGCGACACCGAATCAGTCGGTGGCTAGCAAAACTGGTAGTACGCTACTGGTTATACACACAATTGCAAGCTCATGTCCATGTGCTCATTTTCGGGTAGAAGGGGAACGCACAGACATGGGTTCATGCTTGTGTGTGTGTATAGCGCCTCGCCATGGTAAAAGTCTGAACTAATAGGCGTGAAAAAGTGATATTTTGACGACAAATTTTTTCTTGCGTGCCATTTTGTCAATATTTGCTTATTTGTGAAAATGTGATTTCCCTCGTACTCGTGAAAGTCCTAAAAATTGGCGGAAACTGCAGTTATCGTGAAATTTTATACGTAAAAGCGTATATTTCACTCGTTTCATCAGCTGTCAAAATGTGTGATTCTGCCCGAGTATAGGCTCACTTTACGTGCCTTTTACGACCATTTACTGACTATTAGAGGAGGAAAGGACAGTTTCCGCCAATTTTCACAAGTGTTTTTGAGCGATCTCGCCTTTTAAATTTATCCAAATTGTCTTTATTAAAAAATGGGACGCAAGAAAAATTAATGTGTTTTTCTCGCCTATGACGTCACAATTCCAACATGGCCGTCGCCGGTATTCAGGAGCCTTAAGTCTTTTATCCTGTGGAATTGCAATTGAGAAATCGTTCGTATTGAAGGTAAAACCCAAGAATCTGGCCACTTTCGATGGAGTCAGCATGCTTTTACGTTCATTAATGATGAAATCTAAAGAGGTTAGAAGATTAACCGTAGCTCTAACATTATTTCGACATTGATCGTACGATGGGCCGATCAGTAAAAAATCATCCAAATAAGCTACTGAGAAAAAACCTTTTTCTCTAAGAGTGTGCAGAATTGGTCTTAAAATCTTTGAAAAAATATAAGGAGCTGATGCAAGGTCAAACGGTAGTACTCTAAACTGAAAAAGCTGAGAACGGAAGCGAAAACGAAGAAATTTTCTATCCTCTTGATGAATAGGGATTAGAAAATATGCATCCTGCAAATCAATAGATGTAAGAAAATCATTTGGTGACAGAAGATTGACAACCGTCCTCCAATCCTCCATCTTAAAATGAGGAGCGATAATATATTCGTTGAGGCGCTTAAGATTTAAAATAAATCTCCATCCTCCAGGAGATTTTCTAATTACAAAGAACGAGGACAAAAACTGATCCTCGCAATCCGACACGAGCTCAATTGCTCCCTTGTTACTTAAATTAATAATTTCTTGCTGACAGATATCTTCTTCCAACCTAGATAGGATTGTAGACGGTTCTATCTCCTGAGGAGGTGGAGAGACTCTAAAGGGAAGTTTATAACCAGAAATAGCTTCAAGAATTAGAGAATCCGAGGTGATCTCTTTCCATTTATGGAAGAAAAAAGCTAATCTGCCAGCTAACTTTACCTGGACGGTATTCAGTGTCTCCTCGAGTGAGACCTGGAGCGGTAGGACAAATCTGCGATTGCTGCTCGATGCCCCTGCTCTCCTCGCAACCGCTGGTTTTGTCCTCGGAGCAGGGGCGCGAGCGTTTCCCTCCTTGAAAGCAGTTACTTGACCTGGTTGCTTAATTGGTTGTAATACCTTCTTTTGTATCACTAAAGGAGTTTTAACTATATCCTTGGAAGATTTTTCCATGGTCGATGCTTTTTTAATCTCTTCCCCAAAAGAGGTACCAAACAAACAAGCTATCCGCCGGGAAGACGTCCACTGTTGTCTTCGCCAGGAGGTTAAATGCAGGTTTGATCTGCGCTCTTCTTGATAATGAAAGACGATAAAAAAGATCCGCCAAGATCTTTGCGCCTTCATGGACCTTTACTATTGCCGAACGAGTTTCTGAACTCAATGAGAGCTGCAATTCCGGCTTAAGGAAATCAGAGATAGCTTCTCCGAAAGCGCATAAGGCGATGCCTACCTGGTCCTGATCTTTTGCGTTGAACTCGTCTCTCTTTATGATAGAATTATTTTTTAGAGCCGATTTACATTCTGGATTTAAACTAGGGGCCTTCAAAAAAGCCAAAGTTTCCAGAGGGGAGTATTTTTTCAACAAAACAGTTCGCTCGTCTGCTTGCATACCTTTGCTTGACAGCTCCCGCCACTTAGCGATAACGTGCTCATTCCAAAAGTGCTCAACTAAGTCTTCTGAATCGGCCCCAAATAACTCCTTAGATAGAGCATCCGCTAGATCCTCGTTTTGAGTAATAGTCACGGGCGGAACTGCCCTCGTGACACTCTCAACTGGCGGGGGCGCAGGGGAACACCCACCCTCGCTACTTACCAGAACTGCAACAGAGGAGAGGTTATTCCGATCATTCGAAAAAGGCTGTGTCGTCCTACCATTCGCACTCTAAAAATGCCGATATGGAATGACATACACACCTGTAAGCGGATCTCCTGGCCTTTCCTGTCTCGCAGGCACTGCCAATGAGTTATCTCTTGGAATACAGTTTTCCTGGTTCGAAACTTCTTCCAAGTAAATATTTTCAGACTGCGACTCGATGCCTGACCACTTGTCGGTTTGACGAGCTTCCGTCGACACCGATCGTAACGAAGAAGAAAGAGAGCGGGAGCCACTAACCTCACTACGCGATAAACTTTCTACTAGACGTGCTACCTTTGCTTCGAGGGCTGCCAAACGGTCCCTGGATGACGATCTCCTTCTCTTTTTCGATCTATGCAATGATTTTCCCATTTTAGCAGCAAAAACCTGAAAGCTGTAATATTGTCGGGTGACTGTTGAAGAATCACACAACAGGAAAACAATGAAGATGGCGGCCCGCGCAGGCGCGAGGCAGTGCGTAGAAGGCCGGATTTTCATGAGCTTTAAACCCTGTTGAGGATAACGCAGCGGAACGCTACTACATTTATATCCATCCGGACGAGACGTGGCATAATCGTGTATTATATACTTAAAAATTTAATATTATTTTAATTTGCAACTTAATATTAAACGATGCATATTCTTACTATTCTCCAATACCTACAGAAATAAATGCATAATTTGCGTCACATGTGGTTAACAATACTAGACTATAATATCCTTTAAGGTACCTTTTCATGCGTCGCTCATCGCTCATTTTTCAGCGACATAGTGACGTCACGTAATCGCTGGCGACGTGTTTTGTAGTTGGATTTTCCCAACGACTAGCGATATCTTAAAATGGATGAAGAAGTAAGTATAATATTGGGTAATTATATAGAATACGGGCCTCACCTCCGATTTTGATCTAATTAGGCTCATTTGATGCGATTTCACTCAAAATAAAAGAATCCGAAAGAAATTTGTGGCGCTCGACCTCGTGAACCGAGATATTGGCCTAGTTTACACCCTACGTTTAGGCCGCTACCTATACTCTAAATCTAACCTAAACACGACAGGTCGCGACGGTGTAAATAGCTGTAACCTCGCTTAGGTGAGGGATCTTTTTCAAGATCCCTGACCTCTCTTAGGCCGCACGACCTATCCAGCTTTAACGTATGTAAACGCAAGCAGACGGCCTAAAGGCGTAAAGTGTACTAATAGATGTCTCTATCGTGAGCCCAATTAGCATACCATATTTAAGAAACATTTTTTAAATGTTTATTTAATGTTTTTACAACTATTTTACATTAAATAAATATTTAAAAAATATTTTTTAAATATGGTATGCTGATTGGGAGACTAAATGCGACCTACATTAGGCCCAAAAATATTATAGGTCTACATGCGGTAAACGCTCCATACGAGACCTTCCTTAGGTGGGGTATAGGTTAGGGTATAGGTTAGGTCGTTAGGTGTAAACTAGGCCTATTGTTTTTAAAGTAGCGAATTGTTGTTTTTACAGCAACAGTACAATCATAGAGGGACTGAGGGAGCGGAACATACTGTATCCACGCATATTACTTCTACGTTAAAAGTGTATGCGTGGATGCAGTGGGTTCTGCCTCCCCTGTGGGGGGGCTCCACTATTGTTTTAAATTGAATTGTTTATTAAAGCAGTGAATTTGTATTTTTAAAGCAGTGTTTTTGTGTTTTTAAAGCAGTAATTTTGTTATTTTTAAAGCAGTGACAGATATCTTAACCTCTAAAATCTTGAATTTTAACGCTTAATATCTTGGTTCACGAGGTCGAGCGCCACAAATTTCTTCCGGATTCTTTCATTTTGAGTGAAAACGCGTCGAATGAGCCTAATTAGATCAAAATCGGAGGTGAGGCCCGTATTCTATATAATTACCAAATATATCTGTATAGAGCGAGTTTAATTATGTTTTTATTGTGGGTTTTGCTTCTGCAGTGAAATCTATATTAGACATAGCGAAAAATATTTTACTAGAACCTTCCTTTAAATATTTACTGACTTACAGATTTAGCCAAGATCATATAGAACTTTTCTTCGCACAAGTGCGACGAAGACATGGCTGGAATAATAACCCAAACGTTATACAATTTAAATCCGCAATGAAAACCTTACTTGTAAAAAATTCCATTTCAGCCTCAGTGAAAGCAAATTGTGCTAGCTTTGATATTGACAATGATATAAGATTTAAATTAACATGGGCTAAAAATAAAAATGTTAAAAATTGGCATGATGATTTCACTGATGCTCCTTGGGAGACTACTGATGAAGACAACTTAGAAACTGATAATGATAGCGTTGAACTATACCGTCGTATTAATGTAAACAATAGTTTTCTTAAAGAAAATATTTTGTATTATTTAGCTGGTTTTATAATTAAAAAAATTATGTTAAGATTAACATGTAAAGGCTGCATTGCGAATATCGTAAGAAAAGTTAATGACAAGAAACATAATCTTTCGGCATATACAATATTAATAGATTTAAAAAATAACGGAGGATTAGTTTATGCATCACATAATGTTTTTAAAATTATTTGTGCAATTGAAACAGAATTCATTATGTCAATAAACAAAGAAAATAATAAATTGGAAAAAGATGCGTTTTCAAACATTACGTATCGAATAACACGCAGATATGCATTAGAAGATATATTTAATAACAGTGATGAATGCTTCCAAGGATTAGAGATAGGGACGGAGATGCCACATCGTATACAATTAATACATATGATTTGTAAAAAATATCTAACAATTAGGATGTATTCATACACCAAAATGTTAACAAAGGAGGTATTACATCCAGTCAGTAAAAGACAAAAATTATCCAAATTAATATTATTCAATCATTCTTAATAATATGTTAATTATAATAATGTTATATTATGTTTATTATATTATGTTTATTATTATGTTTATTATATAATATTTTAATAAATTTTTATCTACCATAACATTACTGTTTATTATTATTTCTTGTATCTCTAAATGTTTTATTAATGCTGATTTTAATAGATTACATTAAAAAATAATTTTTTTGAAAGACATTTTATATCTAAATCTCTCAAACCAATGTTTAAAATTGTTTCTGTAAAATAGATCTTTGCTGCTTGCCAAGTACACTAACCTAAGATTGCTTAGGTTGGCTGCTACAGCTGTGCTTGACAAGCACAGCTGACAAGCAAACAGCCATTTTGTTGCGGTCGACATGGCTGAAACCGGATATCCTGCCGCACACAGCACATTGGCGACTGTTAGCAATCTAGTACAGTATAGACATCTGTGATGAAAAGGTACCTTAGTTACAATATGCTGAACCAGAGTTGGGCGGACATTGCACACGGATATGCTTTCCATCCAAAGTCCCGATACAGTTTGGAAAATCTCATCGTTCATAAAAGCCCTTTTCAATATTTTTCCATTCTTCTTCAGAAGGTTGCTTCAAATACGTTTTCTTAAGACATTGCCAAATGGCATTGCATGTTTCTGTAACTATTTTATAGCTTGTTGATTTGCCTATGCGCCAGTATCTGGCCATTGAATTAAGGCTAGAGACTCAAACTCAGAGTAACGTGTGATCCCTAGGGGTGCCATCCCAACGAGGATTTATCCCAACGAATGATGGTATCCACAAATCTCGGTAAATCACAATCCCTGATGCTCCCAGATTGGTCCGCGGAGGCTTAAGTCGCATCTCCAGTACATGCAAATCCAATACACCCAGGTGAACTCGAGTTTGATCGTCTTCCCTAACCATGACGGTGTATCTAGTAACGAATCCCCTAATCCGGGCCGAACCCGGAGCATTGAATTGGTTAGGGCGAAGCGAAGATTTTCCCCTCCAACAAGAAAAAAAAACGGTTAATCTCGGATATCCTAAAAATCGAATTATTTCCTTTGCTGAGCGCCTAGCGCGAAGGCCTTCGATGATTGTGGCTCTTTGATTATACTCCTTGGTTTCAACATTGCGATCATTTTGAGAATATGACTGTTTACTTGAAATTTGTCCGGATTTTGGTGACGCATCCTGTAGATACATAGTATGGGCAACTAAGTACCAATGGGCACATTCAGCAAACTCCCAATGCGCCCCATGACCCATGGTACCTCATAACCCATAGAGCCACGGTCCCCTACTTATGCTCGCCACATAGATTACTCAGAAATTTCTTTCCATGCGATTTTAAGAGAAAGTTTATATTCTTTATTTTTATTGTGGAATTGTGGAAAAATCTTCTGAAATATTGATTCAAAATAATTTTATTTTAATGTCTTACATGTATTGTGTATAAAAAAAAATATT